AGAATAATAGGGAAGACACTAGTGGTGGTTCGAAACCGGTTCGTTAAGAAAAAGGAATTTGAACTACAGAAGGTTAGTATTCAAACTCATTGAGTTTTAATGAACATGCTAACTAATTTACTATAATTGATGTACTTAGAGTGCCTAAGATCCAAATTGCTTCCGCACGTGTTATAGTAACACCATCACTTTGGATCTTCTTTTGCTTATATTTATTCGACCATTTGCCCAATTTAAAAGTGCTTTCGAGTGGCTAACTAAGATGAATCAAGGCCATAGTTGTCCATTTATATCTAAAATTGGAGAAATTATTTTTGAAGGCTACCACAAGGACACCTTAAATTGTTGTACCATGAGATGTATGAGAGAAAAATAATAAAAGTATTTTAATGATTTCTTAGGGATGTCAGTTTTATAGTTAACATCTTACCACTGTTAAAGTGTAGTCACATTCTGATGCAGTTGCTTCGTAATTAATTTTTCTTAAAATTGACACAAATGTATACGCATGTTTCAATTTTTTTTTAATTATAATACGTCTTTAAGTTTTTGTTACTAATTTCAAATCTATTACAAAATCTTTATTTTTGGTGTATTATTTCATGCATTTTCGTATTAGATTTGAGCATGTGAGTCAATATTAATATATTTACATTGATAATTTAGGTATGGAGTACGGTCACCATTAGAACGAAAGGATCTCTTGCATACTCGCGAGGATTACCTTAGGTTCCTTCTCATGTATCATAGTGACTTAAGGCGCCCCTTGCGCAAGACCGAGGAAGGATCTAGACATACATGAAACCATACATGAAACCTAGAGCCAAGAAAGAAGAAAAAACAAACCTTAAGTTGTGAACCTCAGATGGATTGAGTACTCCTTCAAAGAAGTATACTGAGGGTAGTTGAACAGTGACTTACCAAGTTGGTATAACCTTTTAGCCATGGGTGATCGTTAAAAATAGTATTGAGCACATAGCCTAAGTTTTTGTTCATAGGATTAAGTCCGACGAGACCTATAAGTAGGTATACTCATCCCATGTTATTCTTCTTTTTTTTTTTAAATCGAGTGTAGACCACTGTTGAGGGTGGGAGCATGGAAAGTCGTGCAACTTCATCTAGCCATCTTCCTTCTTGTCATTTTATTATTATGTTTTGATTTGACTTTGCATATATTGCCTTTGAACTATTTTTATGTCTGTTTTTTTAACTATTTTTATGTCCATTTTGAATGCGTATTTAAATTTTAAATTTCTTGTCTGTCCTTTTACAAAAGAAATTTTTACCGTCATTTTTTTCCCTCGAGTATATATAGCTACTTATGATTCGAGGTATCAAGAATTGGGTCGTTACAATTTGATATCTCAGTTCTAAGTTGATTAGGTCCAATAGATAATTTTCTTTAGATAGAGAGTTAGTGTGTCCCTTGGGGCTTGACTCATAGTGTAACCATCAGTTAAAAAAATAAAAAAATTTAGTAGCCGTAAAACTCTAGTTTTCCAGCGACCGTCGAAGTTTTCATGACCAACGCAGACGGTATTGAAAATCAAGTCATTACAAAAAAATCAGGTGGTTACAATTTGATATCACAGTTCTAGGTTGATTAGGACCTATAGATAATTTTCTTTAGATATAGATAATTTGCTTGGCTCATAGTGTAACAATTAATTGAAAAAGAAAAAAAACTTAGTCACCGGAAAGTTTTCTGACGACTGTCGAAGAAACACGCTCCACGACAGGCCAAAATTACCACAGACGCTTCCCTCAACCTTCAACTATCGCCACACGATCCAAAATACCTACAGAGAAGAGAAGAGAAACGAAAGAAATATAGGGAGAGGGAGAGAGAGAGAGATCCAAACTTTCTCAGCGAGATACAAGATGATCAACCCGACGTCACCCAAAATTGCCTCAGATGCTTCCCTCAACCTTCAACTATCGCCACACGATCCAAAATACCTACAGAGAAGAGAAGAGAAACGAAAGAAATATAGGGAGAGGGAGAGAGAGAGAGATCCAAACTTTCTCAGCGAGATACAAGATGATCAACCCGACGTCACCCAAAATTGCCTCAGATGCTTCCCTCAACCTTCAACTATCGCCACACGATCCAAAATACCTACAGAGAAGAGAAACGAAAGAAATATAGGGAGAGGGGGAGAGAGAGATCGGAACTTTCTCAGCGAGATACAAGACGATCAACCCAACGTCAAAACAACTGAGTTATACCGCTAACGAGATCTCGGACGACCACACATCAACCTAAGGTACATTTTGTGCCCTTTTCATACGTGTCGTCGTCGGTAAATGAGGTCGAGATTTTGAATTTCCTAAACATTCATAGATCTGTGCACTATGATATCATTACACTAGATGTGCACATCCAAGTGGGACGTAGATGTGTATTAGTTGTATTAGTTGAACCATAAAGTTAGCCAATTTTACGGCACGGCTCCCTATCAGGTCCATAGGTCTAAGCCTCCTCACTAGTCAATTATATAGAAAAATATTAAATGGTCTCCACATACCAAACCACGCCTTTTCAACTTGTTTTGTTGAAGTGCTGGGTATGGGGTTCGAATCCATGCGCACTTACGTGTAGAAGATCTTAAGTCTTCCCCTTAACCTCTCGGGCAAACCAACTAATTGATGCACTTTTGTGCAGAAGATCTAAATTTAAATTAATTAAACAAATATTGAAAATTAGTATGAATACTAAATTTGCTTTCCTAGAAGGTTCATAGTATGATAATTTAGCCTTCTATTACGGTTTATCATAGATACCATATTTGATTGTTTATTGTAGTCAAATATCAGAAACACGTCCGAACAATTAAGTAACTATTTGAATATTTTTTGAAGAAATACTCGTAGGAATAAACTAGGACTTCCAAGAAAAATGACTATAAGATTATCATATGACTAATTTAGCCCAAGAATTTAAGACTAAACTCAGTCAAATGAAAAGTTGATTGATTTAGCTAGTATCCACGTTTAAGGACTTCTGCGACTCTGATTTTGAATCTAATTGCTCTGATTGAAGTTGAGACTCCTGGCAAAGTATAAATGACTCTATAATGTTGATATGAATGTTATTAAAAAAAATTTCCAATTTTTATTTTTTTGGAGAGCATGTTCATGTGGTTGAATTATCCTATATGCTCATAATATATTTGTTAGATTTTATAGTATGACCTAGAATAATATTGGCTTGTTTAGTGAGCCTTAGCCTTTGTCTTACTATATATATTTTTTTTATCTTTGAAACAATGAGTCGATTATGATCATATGGGCTTGCTAGTACTAGGTATGGACCATTAGATTTCAACATATGATTATGAATTTATCTTGAATAATGAGGGTCTACTAAGTATAGAGGAATACGAATAACCTATTTAGGGTCCGTGGTATATTAGAGGGTGCTACTAAGGAAGCGTCAATTGTGTTTATAAGTAGAGATGTATGCAACCTAGATAGAACACATCACCTTTATAAGGTTGAATAAGAAATAAGATTTGATGAGATTTCTACGAGTAGGTTTCGAATAAGAGCATTTTTGTATGTATAGCTTCTTTGTGATTCAAATGAGAGCGAGGTTAAGAAGACTCATTGTTGTATGTTATTTTTCGAGATTATCGTTGAGTTTCTAGATTTATTATTGACATGGACATGTAGAGTATTTTAACTTTTGTTTTTTGAAAATAATTTATGCACTTAAATTAAGTCGATTGTATTAGTTAAAATCTACGAAAAGTTAAATGCTATTTTTTTTCGACTTAATTCAAACAAACATTAAAACTACTAACACATCAATTTTTCGTGGGCTGTTAGTCTAGATGCACTCCATTAATTTAATTTTGATAGAATTTATAATTATTTAATTAATAAATATTAAAGACAGTTGGTTAAATGATATTAAATGATAAAAGTGGTTGTCAAAAAAGTAATTTTAAGTCCATTAACCTAAAATTTTAAAACTATATGGTAAGAAATAAAAACAGATGGAATAAACCAAACATATTTGTTATTTATAAAAATATAAGGCAAAATAATATTTTTAAGGAAGTTTTTTTTTATTTTTTTATTTTTTTATTTAATGTATTTAATCTAGAAAGCATTCTAAATAAACCATAATTTGTTAGCGAGTTAGATTATCGAGATAGGAATTTTTAAGAATGGGGCAACCATTGAGTCTACTGGAGTAGAAGTGGAAGTATAGACGGAAGGACAATGAAGGGTCATGGTAAGAACGATTATTTTAGAAAAGCCGACGTGATTAGCTATTAAGTGATCATTTCGAAGACACGATCGATGCCTTATATAGTTTAGAATTGTCGGTCTTCAACATCATAGGAGGAAGTTGGAAAGCACTGATTGTTGAGATCTAAATTGGTTTCGAGTATAAATGAGAAGGTGTGAAGGATTATAACAAAATAATATATAGTACATGAAGTTGTAACACTCAAATGTTTTAAGTGAATAAAAGTATATTTTAAAATTTTGAATCATAAGGAAAATAAATAAATAAATAAGAAAAGTTGAGTTAAGTTACAGAGTCACTCGAGAAAGAACTTGACGTCCTGTTTAAATTCAACATGGTGAAACAGGATGTAACGACCCTAAATTTCTACATATCTAGAGTCGCCACATCCTAATGCAGAATAAAAATCTAAGAATGCTCATCTTTATTAGTGGAAAAATTTAAAACTTCATAATACATTTAAACATTGGAAACCAATACCGAACTTACATGTTTCAAACATCGTGCTGGAGTTCAAAAGATAAAATAAAACGATTATAAATTAATTAATATAAATGAATGAAATGCAAACGCCCTATCGTAACCAAGACTAGGAATTTTAAATATGCAACTATCCTATGCACGCGCCACAGTCTCTGATCACGATGCCGCCGTCAACCGTACATGGGAGCCTTGCCTTTACCTGAAAAACAATATGGCACACGGCCTGAGTATTTCGAAGAAATACTCAGTAAGTGACCCCACTATAGGGGCCATGCTAATGCAAACACATGCAATCATGAATAGGGACTTATCTCTAATCATCTTAGGGGTGGCCTCTAGTCTCGGACAAATTGGATGTGTAGTACTTCCCAAAACACGACTCACACGTGCGAGTGTGAGTCCCCAAGGTGCTCGCACACCCCCTGGACCCTCTGATCAAGCTAATCTGTAGTGACGTCCAGAGGTCAGCGGAACCCCATAGTGTCATGCTCCTCATGAACACCCTCATCTGTGTGCTTTCGCACCTGTGCGCATTCGCGCTCATCATAAGGTGCGCGTTCGCACTCATCATCTCTAGGGGAAGTAGCCCTATACTTATGAACATACAATATGCATGAGGTCCCTCTAAATCCATCGTAATGTCTCTTCTGACACAACCCTCTAGTCTCATCTCTTTGTTACTCTAGGTAACGCATACTCGTGTTTATTTATATTAATATCATTTTCATGCTCTTAGGGTTGTGTCTTATGTCGATCTAACGACATGATGCAATATGGCACTCATCATCATCTAGCATGCTCAATATGGAAAACATCATCATATTAAGGTAAAAAATCATGCAATCATCATGCTCTAATGCCACAACGTGGTCAAAAATATCAAGCGTCATTCAACAAAATATGTATATACTGCACATATCATCAAGCATCATAACCCACACATCATCATAACTCATACAATTTATTTAGCCTATCCTATAGTAAGGCCACTTACTTTGTTGGCCTTGGCCGAAGTACTCCCTAAATAGCTAAACGTAAGCTCCCGTTCCGTGAGAGTTGCTTCCTACGTCGTCGGGGTTTGTTTCCTATCACACCGTTCCCCACTTTCCGTTAGTATTTCACAATTAATTTATCTATAATTTAATAAATGTGAAATATGGCTCTCAAACGGCCTCGAATACCTTAATCGGGGCTGAAAACAGATCTGGGAGGGTCGGAACAGTGGAAACCGGGCTGAAAACAGGTGAGCCGAGCCATTTGCGCCAAGCCGAGCTGAGGGACCGCCTGCGCCGCTATGTGACACATGGCAGCAGCAGAGCGAGCCACGTCGCGCAGTAGCGTCGGGTCGAAGTGCGGGTCGCAGTCCGGTTCGGGTCATGGTCTGGGTCGCGGGCTGCAGAGGCTACGGGGCCAAGACTACAGTTGGGCCTCCGCTTATTAGGCTAGGCCGAAAGTTTTTTTTTTTTTTTTGGGTTGCAGGCCGGCTCGCTTGGACCGTGGGTCTGGTCTCGGGTTGGTTCAATTGAACCGTAACTTCTGGGCTGGTCTGAGGTTTGGGCTGCAGTAGTTGGGCTGGGCCGAAGGCAGAGGCCGAGGAAAGAATGGGCTGACCCTCTCAGATTCTGGGTTCGGGTTGACCCGGATCCGTGGGTCTCATCTTCCTTACCCGACTTCGGCCGATTTTCCAGCGAGCTTTCTCTCTCTCCTTCCCGCTACGTTTCTGTTGCCGATTTCGGTCCTCTCTCTTTCTCTTCTTCTTTATTTGTCGTCCTTCTTTCTTTTCTGGAAGTCTGGCGGCCTAAAGGTTCCTAAAATCACAGATCTATGACGATTAAGAAAAACCCAATTTTTCGACCTCGGTTACCGACGACGGCGTTTACGAAGAAGCACAGAACGCACCTTGAGTTAACGTGCTTTTGCTAGGGACCGTTCTCGTGGTGGTAACAGGTCGTTTGGTGTCGGTTTGAGGGTTCGTCGGAGAAACTGGACACTCGCCAATTTTTTTTTTCCCAAATCTCTCTTTCTCGTAGTTTCTGTCTTTTCTCTCTTTGCAGGTATCCTGATGGTGCTGGTGTCGTGGGCTGAGGGCTGGTCGTGCTGTAGTCGTCGTATCGCGTGGGTTCTGCAAAACTCGGTGGTCGCCGGAAAACTCGCAGGTTTTCCAGCGACTGAGTTTTTCTTTTTCTTTTTTTTTTCTAGTTTTCTCGTTTTCCTTTTTTATTTATTTATTTATTATAGATATATATATATATATATATACACATTTTTTTTCTTTCTTTCTTTCCCGGGTCGTTACACAGGAACTGGCGAAGCTGACGTGCGAGTCACTCGGGTGCGACGGAGATGAATCAATAGTAGTGAATTTTGCTTTTTAAGTTGTATCATATGCTGGACGAGAGCGTGTCAATAGAGAAAATGTCCGAGATGAGTGCCTGTCAGATTATTCATTTTTGCTAAGTTTAGGAGCTGTTTCATGGTCCTCATAGAAGTAACCCGTAGTCACACTGTCCACTACTTAAGCTGCAATCATTGCTGCTGCAGCTTGTGCAATCATTGCTGCTGCAGCTTGTGCAATCATTGCTGCTGCAGCTTGTGCTTGCGAAACCATATGGTTGAGAAGGATGCTGGAAAAGCTCGATCATATCTCAATTGGAGCTAAAATGGTGTACTGTGATAATAGTTCCACTATTAAGCTAACCGAAAATCCAGTTTTCCACGATCGAAGCAAACACATTAATGATCGTTTCCACTTCCTCTGTGATTTAAGTAAAGGTGGAACTGTGATGTCACAACATTGTCATACTAAAGAGCAAGTGTTTGATACCATAACAAAACCTTTGACTCGAGTTGTGTTTAAGATGCTACGCGTGTTGCTTGGTGTCTGTCAAGATCCTGAAGTTTGATCTAAACACGCATTTTAGTTCTATTTTTATGTTATAGTTTCTTAATATTAGATCACTGATACAATTTTATGCCCATATCAGATAGCTATTTTTATGCTTTAGTTTCTTAATATTAGATCACTGATAAGATTTATGCGGATATCAGTCGTAGATATATTCTTTGTTTTGGCATGATATTCTAGTTTCTGTTAGAACTTTATTTTTATCTTTGGTTACACATTGTACTGGCTATAAATATACTCATTCTTCCGAGAATAAAGTACTAGTTTCCTTCCTTTTGCAAACTTATCTTCATTAAATTTATCACCGCTATCCTAAGCAATTTAACTGGGTGTGTATTTATTGTTCTACACACGGTCAACACGTGTGAGTATGGACCCACCAATCGGTTCGCACACCTCTTGGAAATCCTTCTTTTTGGGTGAGCATTCCTAGGAGTTGTTGATGTCGGACACCCGTTAGGAATAGCAACCATTGTAGCATTCTAATAAATATAATGATTGTTTCCGTGCCTCGTAGTGTACGCATCTGTACCATCATAAAAGAAGAAGGGGTATCCGTGACTTTATATTATATTCGTGGCTTTCATTACATGTATAACAACCCCTCTAACATTTTTCTTTATATTATATCATTTTATCATAATTTTCCATGCATTTATCGGAGTTATGCATTATCATGTCTTCTAACATATCATAAACTTATCATGTCTTCTAACGTATCATATCATATCATATATCATAACATTCAAAAATCACATCACGAGCAGGTCGTCAAGCATAGAATATCTTAACACATCATATTGTAAACATATCATTTGAGTACGTATAACATAACATTCACATATCATATCGTACACATCATTTCATTATCATCCAAATATATGTGTATACGGCACATGCGAAGCCACGACCACATGTCATCATACAACATAAAATTTATAACCAAATCAATAGAAGTGTCACCTACTTGTTGGCTTTAACCGACATTTCCCTAATATTCAAGTACGTTTGCTTTTCGTCCCTTGAAATTTCTCAAAGTATTGTCGATTGTAATTTTCTATTAAAACGTTCATTTTGTTTCGTTAGTAAGTAAAATTCCTTAACTCAATTTAACTTAAATCGTGAAATTGAACCTTATATTTACCTTAATTGTCTTAAACAAGGTCAATTTTAGCTTGAAGATGATCAGAACGATGAAAATTGAACAAAATTCCCTCTACCGAGCTGAGGGACTGATTTCTTAGTCGCAAAGGCAAGCGAAAGTCGAGCGAGCTAACTGAACCGCATAAGCTGAAGGAAGCTTGGTAGTATCTTAATATGCATAATTGAGCTTGACAAAATTTGAGGAAAAATAAAAAGGTAAAAAAAACTGTCATTATAGAACTATGTCATTATTTTATTGTGGCCTATGCCATTTTTATAGTTAAGAGACAGTAACACCTCTATACATAGAGAGAGGGGGCTTAGTGTAGTCTAATGCTTGTTGAACTCCTTGAGGACATCTTCAAATGATGATAGTACTCCACCTTCGCAATATATGACCAAGGAATGCCATCGTCAGTTATAGCTTCTACCACAATAATAAAAATTCTTATTCTACCTCCATTGATCGTATAAGACAAACCATTCACCACACGCAAGTCAATGAGACGTTCACCATATTTGTTATACACTTCCATTGCAAACCTTCCGACTTTTTGCAATTCTTCTTCATTGATATTCTTAATTGAAACTAGATTTGAAGGAAACACTTCTTCACACCTCATTTAGGAACACCTTTGATAGATAATTTCAACAAACTTTGTTCATGAATAGTTGAAGTTCGATATTTATAGTTGTGGTTGAACGCTATTCATATTGATATAGCAGAATCTTACAACAAAGACTAATTTCGCATTCCTTTGCTAGGAGATAGCTTTGAATCAAATTCTTTGGTTTGGATAATGGTGGAATTGTTTAAGTCAAACAATTAATCAAATGTATTACTAGTAGAACAAACATTTTGTAGGTATATTTTTTAGTTTTAGTAATAAATTACACATTAATAGTTCGATACAAAGTTACTTAATATTGTGAGTAGAAGTTTAGATTGAGCTCGGTTGAACAGGTAATCTTAAAGTATATTTAAAACTAAATATGATTTCCTTTTTATACATTCACAAAAACAAAATGTGCACGTCTAGGTTGGAAGTTTGGTGTGTTTTGGTTGGACCATAAAGTTAGCCAATGCTTTGCTTTGTTGATCTAGCCCTAAGCCTTTTCACTACTGTTATAGGAGGCTTAACTTAGCCACTTATTTCTAATCTCTTTATTTCATCTTGGTTGGACCATAAAGTTAGCCAATGCTTTGCTTTGTTGATCTGGCCCTACGCCTTTTCACTACTATTATAGGAGGCTTAACTTAGCCACTTATTTCTAATCTCTTTATTTCATCTAAGTCATTAAACGATTGACCTACAAGTAAGCTTGAAAAATGCACACCCGGAAAATCGAACCCCGATCAGTACCGTTGGAGGGTACCCACTACACACTAGATGCGCACATCAGAAGTAATGTATGTTTTAGTTGGACCATAAAGTAAGTTTGGCATGGTTAATCTAGCCCTATCACTTCACTACTATTAGATGATCGAACCCCAGTTAGTACCCATAAAGTTAGCCGATTCTATGGCTACTGTGTGTTTTGGCTAGACTATAATCTACGAGAAATCATGAAAATGTACATCCAGGGAAAACCTAGATCGAAACCCGGCCAGTACCGTGGGTAGGTACTATGATACCAATATACTACATTTCACTTCCCGGTGGGAAGTACTATGTGTTTTAGTTAGACCATAAAGTTAGCCAATTCTATGACTTGGTCAATCTAGCCCTATTAGGCCCATAAGTCTAAGCCTCTTCACTACTATTATCTCTTGATTGCATCTAAGAAATTAGACAATTGATCTACAAGAAAGCTTAAGAAAATGCACATTCACAGAATCGAGCCATGATTAGTACAGTGGGAGAGTCTATGATGTTGGGATTCATGCCCTAAAGCCTCGTAATTGATTATTTAGTTTATAACAATAATTTTTATTATTTTATTTATAATTTAATTGTTATCCATGGTATGAAAATCCAAGGTTATTAATGTAATCTTGAACCGTATGTGTTTGACATACAAGAGCATCAGGTTCAAGTAATAACCTAAAGAGTCTATAGTACATGGATAAGGTTGGATGCCTTATCCTGGTAACACTATTGATACGGCCACTTTGTAATCGTTACAAATGATTTGATCCAAATCATTCATGTGGAGACATATAAGTGGGGGTATCCTAAACAATGAGTTTGTATAAGACTAGACCAAGAAATATTTAATCTCGCTTTATAAATCCATTAATTGAGAAGATTAATATTTCACATGATTATCATATGCAACTCGATCTTAATCCTGAGTGAGTTATGAGCTCCTGCTACGAGGGCTTGTTCTTTCATTTACATGGGTGAGAATGACTCTTTTAGTTGATTCAATATGTCTACCATTTTAGGGACTTGACCAAATAGGGAGTTGGGAACATAATATCATGAGATGGAATTCACTCCTTTGCATATAACGAAAGTAGGTTTGAGTTGTTCTCTTAAGTACTAATTTCGGGACTTGAACAATGGGGCCCCACCCTCTCATTGGCCCGAGAGGGACTTGGTTTCTGATTGGATCATAAACAAATTGTTCATTAGAGAATCAGTGGTACTTAAGGTGAAAGATGTAATTACAGGGGTAAAACGCACTTTTGACCCAGCTGTAATTATGAACAACTCGTGAAGAATCGACTTGCTTGTAAGGGTTATATCAATGGACATAACTTGTCCTACAGTGCATAAAAGTGCAACTCTAGGTCTACACTAGAGTGACCTATAGTTAATGAATAGAGATTGGTTAAATAAAGAGTTTAATTAATTAATTTTATATTATTAGAGATTACAATCGTTAGGTCCTTAAGGTTCCCTAGTTAGCCCCCTAGCTCATAGTAAGCTTAAAGGTTCAATTTATTTGAAAGTAAATTTGAAGTGTTCAAATTCACCTTTAATATATTAGATATATTAAATATAAAAGAGAAAAAAATTTAATTTGAAATGTCAAATTAATATTTAATATATGAGATATATTAAATAAATAGAGAAAATAAATTTAATTTGAAATGTCAAATTAATATTTAATATATGAGATATATTAAATAAATAAAGAAAATATATTTAATTTGAAGAGTTCAAACTAATATTTAATAAATTAGATAAGTTAAATATAAATGGAAAAAAATATATTAATTTAAAGGGTTCAAATTAATATTTAATATATTAGATATGTTAAAGAAAAAATGTATTTATTGTATTTGATACAATTAAATATTACATCAATTAATGTATGATATATTAAATAAAAATATTTTTGAAATTGGAATGAAATTCAAATTAATTAAATATATATTACGATATCTTATAATATCTAAATATGATTTGTATAAGGTATTATATTCTAATATATTAAATATGCAAATATATTATTTGACAAATATTCTTCTAGAGTCCCTTGGTCGAGCAAAAGACACATCAATCTCTCCCACTTTCTTTGGAGAATGTAATTCTCTAGAGAATTCTCGAAACTCTTTCTTCTTCTCCAGTTCGTTGGGGATTTTCTTTCAAAAGTCTCTCACAGGCTTTGTTTCTCAAGAGTCGCTTTGTTTCTCAAGAGTCCCTTGGGGATTTTTTTTCAAGAGTCTCTCCAGTCCCTTGGGGATTTTCTTTCAAGAGTCCCTTGGGAATTTTCTTCTTCTCATGAGTCTTGAAAACTCTTGGCTTTGTGTTCGAGTCATAGCAAGGAAGATCTTGTGGATTGTGGAAGAACATTTGCATGGTTTGATTACTTCAAGAAGTCTTGCAAGATAGGATTTCTACAGAGGTAGAGTTCTTATACTCATATTTATTTCTTTTGTTTTAATTTATAATAAAAATCAAAACGGTTCTCAACGCTTCCGCTACGTGGATGAAGAATTCATTCCCTTCATATGATACCAATACACTAGATGTGCACATCCATGTGGAAAGTAGTGTGTTTTAGTTGGACCATAAAGTTAGCATATTCTATGGCTAGGTCAATCTAGCCCTATCAGACCCATAAGTCTAGGGCTCTTATCTACTATTACAAGAGAGTAAGTCACTCGGGTTCTTGTAAGTACACTTAGCCACTTATTTCTAATTCAGCATTTCATCTAAGTCATTAGAAGATCTATTTATTTCATCTAATTTATTAGAAGATTTACCTACAAGTAAGCTTGAAAAATGCACATCTGGGGAATCCAATCTCGGTCAGTACCGTGGGAGAGTACTATGATACCACTACACTAGATGTGCACATCGAGGAGGGAAGTTGTGTTTTAGTTTGACCATAAAGTTAGCCAATTCCCTATAAGACCCATAAGTCACCCATTATGGTTTCTTCTAGATGCCCTTAGCCACTTATTTTTAATCTCTTTATTTCATAAAAGTCATTAGACGATTGACCTTTAAGTAAGCTTAAAAAATGCACATCCAATAAATTGAACCTCGGTTAGTATCGTGGGAGCGTACTATGATACCACTACACTAGATGTGCTCATCCATAAAGTTTGCCATTTCTATGTCTGGGTAAATTTAGCCCATAAATCTTAGCCTATCATGGGAGGGTACTATGCTACCACTACACTAGATGTGCTCATCCATAAAGTTTGCCATTTCTATGTCTTGGTCAATTTAGCCCATAAATCTTAGCCTCTTCACTACTATTATAGTCACCTATTAGGGGTACAATTCACCTACAAGTAGGCTTGTAAAATGCACCTATTAGGGGCTTGAAAAATGCACCTACTAGGGGTATGATTCACCTACAAGTAAGCTTGAAAAATGCACATCCGTGGAATCGAACCCCTTAGTACCATGGGAGGGTACTATGATACCACGACACTAGATTTGCACGGGAAGTAGTTGTGTTTTAGTTGGACCATGAAGTTAGCCAATCCTATGGCTAGGTCAATCTAGCCCTATCAAGCCCATAAATCTAAGCCTCTTCAGAGTGAGCTGTAAGTCATCATTAGACGATTGACCAACAATTAAGCTTGAAAAATGTACATCCAGAAAATCGAACCCCAATCAATACCGTGGGAGGGTACTATGATACTACTACATTAGATGTGCACATCCAAGTGGGAAGTACTGTGTGTTTTAGTTGGACCATAAAGTTAGCCAATTCTATGGTTCGGTCAATCTAGTCCTATCATGCCCATAAGTTTAAGCCTCTTCACAACTATTACAAGAGTAAGTCAGGGTTCTTTAAGTCAATAGAAGATTGACCTACAAGTATGCTGGTGGGCTTCAAAATTAGAGGGCCTTTTCACAACTATTAGAAGAGTAAGTCACCCATTAGGGGTTCTTCTTTAAGTCATTAGAAGATTGACCTACAAGTAGGCAATTAGGGGGTCTCTT